GGTATTTGGGCTTCAAGAACCCAACCCCCCCCCCCCCCCCCGCCAACCTGATAATTTTTTTCTTTAAAAATCATGTATTTTCACCATATTCCTCAATTTTTTCCCCACATGGAACCCCTCCCCCCAGAAAATTTGGAAACCCCCCCAGATAGGTCTCTGGATCCGCCACTGCAATGTGATTCCGAGAAATGTTCATGCATATAATAAACATTATTATTTAAGTGTACTTTAACACATGATGATAAGGTTTTACTTGTGTAGGTTTTTATTTCATATTAACTATGTATAAATATGTACAGCTAAACATGGAATCACATATTTCTGACACCATTGCAGTTGAACATATAAAAGTGTTAAACCCAAACCTGATTTCAAGGAAATCATCAAGAATATGAAAAGATAGCTGTCCGGACAAGGGAGTAATATTTCAAGTACAAATGGGACTGTTCAGTCAAAGACTCACTAATATAACTTGCACATCCATATATATTTATAATATGAATTTATAATGTTTGTCAGTGATATTTCAAATTTTATCAACTTTATAAAACCGACACCTTGTACAACTAGTTGTTGTGGCACAACTTTGTAACATACGCCAGGTTATTTAGTAAACTACACAATAGTTAACATACATTTTGTAGCAATCTTGTAAGATCACAGCAGAAAAAAAAATTCAAATGCATTAAGTAGCCCATTCAAATGGGCGTGGATCATTGTTGTCAAGTATGACATCATTAGAATATATGGCACCAAATACTACACTACTAATTCACCCGCTTTTCAATGCAATAACATTTTCATTCCAATAAATACTTGGTTTGTAACGATTAGAAAAATTAATGGATTCCCATTGAATACTATTTATTTTTGTTGATATAGGAGAATACTCCAATATTTTTTAGAAGTGAGAAGCATACTAAAAATATTGGTATTCTGTCATACTTAAGGAAGAAACTTGATTCACTGAAAGAGATGGAAATCAAGGGAAGATATAGCATTGAAAAAAATCCAATTAGAAACCGCTTGAATAAGAAAACCTACATATTAATTTTATTCAAAATGTAAGATTGTGTTGATAAATTTATATAATGCTCTTTGTGGCAAGAATTAGGAAATGTCACTTGACAAAATCTTACCTTTGTCATGTGGAACAGAATTCAAACAAGACATTCTGACACACAATTTCTTGAGTTTTTTTGCCTTCAAGTACCATGGCATTTCAAGGCTTCCTAGTTCAAAAAATCTAAAATAAAACCTTCAATATAATACAAGTTGTGCTATTGTATGCCACACTTACTGCCAACATACTTCAAATTCCTATTTCTGAAGATTTTTATTTTCCCCTTCAATTTATCCCCAAACAACTTGATAATGCCAGAATTTCTCTTGACAAATGATGGCAGTATAAAGAGTGTTTTTGATTTATGAATATATGCAGTAAACATCTTCAACAATACCTCTATGTCTTGCTTTATATAATGATGAACCCCTTTATACTGCCATTTTTTTCTGGATGAATTGTAGCAGTATAACAAGGTTTTAAGGCAGGACTATATGCATTCATCTTCAACAAAACCTCTATGTTTACCTAGATTTAACACTGAACCCCCTTATAATGCCAAAATGTATCTGGATAAACAGCGGCAGTATAATGAGGTTTCCATATATGAATATATGCAGTAAATATCTTCAACAATATCCCTGTCTTCCTTTATATAACACTGACCCCTTTATAATGCCAACACTTTTCTGGAAAAACAGTGGCAGCATAGTGGTTTTCATATATGAATATAATCAATATATGCAGTAAATATCTTCAAACAATATCTCTATGTCTTCCTTTATATAACACTGACCCCCTTATAATGCCAATACTTTTCTTGATAAATGGTGGCAGTATAATAGGGTTTTACTGTATAACGATTATTAACTCTATTAGCTCTTCATTTACAATAACTTTCATCCCAGGTTCCAACTTACGGATACAACCAAAATCATCTTGATTAAGTTTATACTAGACGTGGAATGTGGTAGTTTCAGCAACCTTTTATATAGATAGATAACACTATAGAAAAACATACACTGAACACATGTGCAGTGTTAACTGAGAGAAACATTAATGTCTGCGTAGAAAATGGATTTGTTTTTTTCTAATCCGACAAAAACCATAGCAGCTACATGTAACACAAATGCATTAATGGGTCCTGCCTAAATCAATAACCGTTTTTATATACCTCATTTATAAAACAGAAACAAACCAGAATATATTAAAAGCTACATATATGATATCTTCTTCTTAAAAGAGTTTCAAACATAGACCCAGGTCAATATGTATCTTATGACTGGTAATTGTGATGAATTCATGAAAATATTATGTAATATAATTATTTTTCAACGACTCCACTAAGTATAAAACACAAGGCCACTGGCTCCCTCGTCTGTCACTCTGCAGAATGAGCTTTGGAGAAAATTCTCCCTGGCTCAGTCAGCAGGAATAGCATTTTACTAGGGTGACACATTTCCCCTTCAGGGAAGAACTCATTCCCATGTTCCAGGCGTGAAAGCCTTGAGAGGAAGGCTAAGTATTATTGTCAATATTTCTGGAGTTCCTCCTTTGGCATGAATGGAACAAATGTCATTATTTTTCAATACCTCTGCTAGGGATGAAACTTATGGCCTCTGATTTACTAATCTGTCTCTCTACCAAATGACCTGAAGAACATTTTTCCTTGGTAGGAAACAGATAGTATTCTACCGGGGTGACATTTACAATATATCTATGAAATGTAAATAAGTACAAAATTTCATACATTTGTAGCGGAACTTGAGTGGATTGATCGCCTTGGAACAAGGTACTCTATTGGTAGAGTGTCGGTCTAGAGTTCAGAGGGTCCACGGTTCAAACCCCGGTCTGGCTGTGCATTTTACTTTCTTATGGTGGTGTAGGGTCTCTTGTGTCTTCTGGGTTGAAGACATTGTTGAAGAGGGAGGAATGAAGCAAACCTGGACTGGGACGATATGGTCGTCGACCAGGTAGCTCAGTTTGTAGAGCTTCTGTCTAGAATTTGGAGGGTTCCGTGTTCGAACCCCGGTCTGGCCTTGCATATTCCCTCTCCACACTGATAACTCTTGGTCATTTCAGATGCATTTGAAAATTCTACAAGCGTGCCCAGTAAATGTAGAAGTACCACAGTTAAGGCATAAATTTTGTCAATAATGAAGTCTTAGACGTCAAACAATATGTCTGCACTTTATGGAGCCTTATTCTTAAAGCAACACAATCATATACAGTGAGTCACATGTTTCCCTCTAATGATAAACAGCTCTATACTTAAAGCAACATGTTTGTCAAGTTTGGAACCCAAATCTTAAAGTAACATGTTTCCCTTTAAACTTAATCAGCTCTACAATTAAAGCAAAATATTTGTCAAGTTTTGGAACCCAAATCTTTAAACAATCATGGTTTCTTTTAAATTTGATGAGGTTGACATTTAGATATACATTTTTGCCCTGTATGGAAACCCAATTTTAAAGCAACATGCATGTTTTTCAGTGGTTGCATTATTTACCTTTTGTGGATCCTTATACTAAAAGCATAATGGTTCACCTGTATGGAGCCCCCAAGCTTCCAAAAACATGTTTGTCCAGTATTGACTTTAACCCTAAAAGAGACATGCTTGCCTATTATGGGTCCCTACATTTGAAGCAAAGGGGTACGCAACTATTAATATTGATCTTGTTAGATTTTCAGTCGCTGGGTACCTTATATCCCAACTTACCCAGCGACTGAAAGTCTAACAAGACCGATATTAATAGTAGTTGCATGCCCCTGTGCTGGAAGGAACATGTTCACCCTTTATGAATCCCCTACACAAAATGTAACCTCAACAATGTTCATCCTGTATATAACCTATCAAGAATTAGCAGCACTTTTTCTTATCTTTTGCGCCATCATTAACAGGTTTTGAAAGATCAACAATTCCAGTATTCCCTGCAACTCGCTTCTCTGCATCAGTTAAAGGTACACAGTGATTAAATATATACTCAAACACTTCAGTCACATTAGATCCCTTCAGACTACTTGTCTCAAAGTACGGATCCTTAGGTAAATGACTTATGTCTATATTGGAATTTATCTCCCTGGAAAATTTTGTAGCTTCTTCTATAGTTATCTCCCTTGTTCTGTCACTGTCCAACAAATCCAATTTCATTCCAACAACGACTTTGATACAGTTCTCCAGTGCAGAATCCAAAAGTGGAATAAACCTGGCCCTGTTTGAAAAACAAACAAAATCTTTTGTATAACATGAAATGTTCATTGTATTTATAAACATTGATGGTTTTTGTGGAGGCTACAGAACCACAAAAATTAATACATCAAATTTAATTGATATATTTGACTACTCTTTGTTTATACGGGGTATCCACGGAAGTTTATACCATGAAAAAATCGGAATTGCTTCAAGTCACGAAAAAAATTACCCATGAATATTTCATGTTATATGGTATACATTTTGTACAAGAAAATAATTTTCCCCATTAAAATATTCGCCGTTCACCAGAAAAATAAATGTTTGCTCATCATATGGTATTGCTATATATGATAGGCTTTTTATTTATATTCGCTGTCATGATAAATTGCAAAGGGCCAAAATGGGGAAGGTTAAAATGTTATAGTTATACAGTACCCTCTTGCACAAAAGTAGCCAGAAATTCTTTTTAATAGCTAGAACTTGTCCTTACCTACGTAATATAAAATACTGATTATAACGGGAAAATGTTGCCCAGTCAAACTTTCACCCGTTGCCTATGAAATCCATTTTTGCCCAGTGTTAATTTCGCCCTTTAGGCTTCACACTGAATTACTATGAATATTGTATTGTTTAACTTATATTCATAGTAATGATAATTGGCCTCATTAATGACAGAGAGTGAAAAAGTCGAAAATTAAACTGCAGTGAAAATTGCAGAGTATACAGTATTCATTTTCAACATTGTTTTTCTACTACTCTTGTTCAGTTCAAGGTTTTGGAAGGCAGGTAAGCCTACCCTTGAAAGAAACTAATGAATGAGATTCCATAAAAGAAGAAATCAGATTCCATATAAGGAAATGGTTGCGCTAGTATCTAACATGAAATTCTACGTTAAGCAAACTTTGAAGTATACTTAATCCCTAGACACCTGCATTACACAAAATTCGTGTCTTAAAAACAACTGTTTATGGAACCAATAATTTAAATTTTACTTTTTTCTTCTGTAAAAGGGATGAATATTTGTTTCATGACATGAAATGTTGGTTACCATAGCGATTCGAAGGAGCTGACACTGGTCATGTCAAAAGCCAAAATGGCTGCCCCTGCATTCCTGCAGTAAAAGTTGGACAGTCCAGTGTATCTTTCATCTCCAGCAGTATCCTGTAATAAAGAAAAAAGGTTCCATCACTCATAAAATATTTTCTTTAATTAATATAATCATAAGTTAAATGACCCCTTACCCACTGGTTGGAAAACTACAGAATTCCACAGATGTTTTGGAACAAAGAGTAACCTTCCCTTAATTTTGTTTTGGCTATGACTGTAGCACATTTTTGGCCACAGGCATTACGGTTGATGTGATAGCGGAGGTGGTAAGAGTAACAGTATGATTATTGTAATCCTGGGCCCTATTCATGAAAACGTTCTCATACTTAAGCGTGGATTCTGTGCTCAAACCAGTTTTTTTGTAAGTCACTTAAATCATGTAAAACAATCAAAAAGTCAGATGTAAACATTGAAAAAATATTCGGCTTTAGGTCTCTTTGATTCGTTCCAAGTCTTTGAAAATAAGAATTTTTAAAAGTAATTTATTCCTGAAACGAGAAATTAGTCTTGAGCACAAAAACCATGCTTGAGCATGAGAACAGTTTCATGATTACCGGCCCTCGTCTGCCCCAATGATATTTTTACACTCAGAACACAGTTGTCATTCTTAAAATGTTTATTTATCTTATTTTTCATAAATGGTCAGCATGCAGGGTTATGGTATTGTATCCTTTTCAGAAAGAATTCATCAAAGCTATTCCGTCTTTGCGTATTGCAGAGTTATCTGCTATTGAGAGCAGGTATTGATTGTTACGTCATTGGTTTGTGAAAGTGACGTCATCAATTTTTGAGAAAACGACGTAATTTTCTCACACAAACCAATGACGTAACAATCAATACTTACTCACAAGAGAAGATAACTCTGCAATATGCAAAGACGGAATACATATACCAGAAATAAAACTTTCCAAAAAGCAGAGTTACAGTTTTGGCAGTAATACCAAATCCTTATTTTGAAAAACATTGAATTATGATAAATTATCAATATATATGTTATTCTGGCATGTCATTGATAGCTGTGACTAAATGTCTTTATGTGGGCCCAACTTACCTGGCTTCAGTGATAAATTCTATCATACAAAATATTATCGCCTTGTCCCAAAGGGAATACAACCTTCATTCATACAGCTGTTAATTCCTTAATTCTTTCTCCTACATTTGTTAAATGCTAAATCTTGTTTAAATCCACTAAGCCATTTAGGAGAAGTAGTTTTTCTTTGAAAGCTGAAATCCCATTTATTTCCCCTCTTGGGCTTAAGCCCTTATAAGGGGACTACACCTTTCTTTTGTAGTTGTTTGATTGATAAATTGAAGCAATTTTGGTTGAAATATGATCCATCATTCAAGAGAAGTAATTATGCTTTTCAAGGTTTAGGGATGATGGACGACAAACAGAGACAGCTGTAATCTTTGGAATTTGGATGTAAACTTACCCAGACAGCTATATTGTAAGGTCCCCATTGCTTCAGGAAAAATGCAGCACCGATAGTCTAAACATTAATAAAAAACATTTTTATTACTGATTCATATCATATGCTATCCTTAACGCTCACATTAATAAATATATGTATTTGAAAAACATTTTTCTTTTCATTCTTTTTTTGAAGCATTTCTTTTAATCCTTTGGGTTTTACAAATATATCTATATTGTTAGAATTAAACGGGAAGAAATTTTCCAATTTACATTTGCTTTGTTTAGAGTTTTAAAAATTAAGATAAACCATACCGGTTCCTTAGTTTGGAAGGTTCCGTCTATGTATCGACAGACGAAGGAAGTTTTTCCAACATTGTAGTCTCCTAAAATGATGACTTTAAGATCTCTGAAAAACAAATGTTTATAATAAGTACTGATGTTCTGATCAATCAACATCAAGTCACCTGGCTTGTAAAGATAAACTGGAAAAACTAAATATAGATTCACAAAACAACCAGCAATCAGTTCGCTATAGTTTCTTGAAACCTACATCATAAACAGACACAATATGATAGGTAAAAAGTAATAATGCCTTTATTCTGAAACTGAGGCTACCTTCAACAAATCATCAAGTTAGAAACTGAATATATATGTGGCGACATCTATGATGTACACCACATTGGAGATAACTTGACCTGTCTGCTATGAAAACAATGTAGTAGGAACAGAAAAATGCACAGCCAGACCGGGGTTTGAACCATGCCCCCCTCCTCTGAACTCTAGCTATAGACAGAAATTCTACCGATTTAGCTACCTGGTTGCAGGTGATGAACCCAGTCCAGTTCCACTTCATTCCTCTCTCTTTTAAAATAGTCGTTTACCCTGAAGACACATGAGACCCTATACCTCCTTTCGTGGGTAAACAAATTTTGTTGGGCGACAAATATAGTCTGAGCGGAAAAATTTGCAAACGGACCAGGTTTCGAAACCGGAACCCTTAGAACTCTAGATAGTAGATAGACGCTCAAACCAATTAAGCCACATGTACCTGGTCAGCAGCGATCGACCTAGTCCAGTTCTACTACAAGAGCAGGATTTCAACCTCATGAAATTTAACATGGGAAAAGTGTCTGTATGCTGTAAAAAAGTTTGAATTATCAAAATGGAATGTGTGTTCAGACAAAGATCATGTCCTCAGAAAGTGTATACACCAGACATCTATTGGTCAAAATGACTAAGTCTGGTGTCAGGGCAACATGAGACTCGGGATACTTCCCAGCTGTACCAAGCATTTCTTTATACCTCAACTAGAAATGTGATTTTTAATGAGAGGTAATAAGTTGGGGTCAATTTTTCGTCATCAAGTGATATTCACCCTTACATACTGTACAAGTGTAATGCACTGGGGTGGCATTTTTAAAGAGAGTTGATTCAAACATCTTATATTACTCTATAGCCCAAGTTTCCTCTGGCCCTGACACCAGACTTAAGACATTTTGACATATAGATGTCTGGTTTGGGGCCAGAGCGCACTGTTATATGAAAACGTGGAATTCTCCAACACCGTTTGGTATGGGAGAGTTATGAGATGCTGACAACAAAAATCTACTATGACAACACATATACCTCAAATGTATCGATAAATGGATCATTTATTGATCCAAATCAGCTCTTTTTATCACCAACAGCTGCTAAATTCTGTCAGTAGAGTCCTCGATTTTCAATCATTCAAAATTTCCTTCCTGAGCGAACGCTATTTTTGTTGGTTATGGGTTGACTAATCAACAAACCGTACAGATCCGGACCAAAAATGGAATATATTATTCTTGTTTAGCCGATTTCAGGACCGCGTCTTTTTGCTGATTAGTCGTTCCCCAATACCAAACAATGTCGGAGAATTCAACAGTGCACTCTGGCCCCACACCAGACATCTTTATGTCAAAATGTTTAAGTCTGGTGTTATATAATTAGTGACAGAGGAAATTCGGGCTAATTACTCTATAAATATCAGGACAGTTCCAAACATACCAATTTTAACACATTGTCATGTCCCTGTGTAAAGGTATGTTAGGCGCTATGTCCCGACCACATGTGCTGGACACACTAGTATGATGTGTATATACAATACGATAGACCATAGGTGCTAGACACACCAATATATTATATAGTAGATACACATCATATTAATTAGTGTGTACATCACCAGTAATTCCGACCTATATTACTTCGATCTCATTTGTTCTGTCAGTATAGGACGCTTCATCAATATAACCATAACAATATATATATACATGTATATATACATAAGTATAAGTTTTTTTTATATACAAATTGTTATATTTATATTGATTAAAACGTCATCCATTTGGTGCTCACTGCTAGCCTGTGTGACAGCTGTAAACAAACGTCGCCTCTACTTGTAATTGTCGTAAACAACACAACAGAACGAAGGAACACTATCATACTATATTTATAAACAACCAACTTGTAATGATATTGGTTGAACAAAAATGCCAGGATCATATTGGATGCTGACTCCTAGTCCGCTAAAACTGACCATAATCACAGGCTCAAAAGTGATCAGAATTTTTGAGCCTGCGATTATGGTCAGTTTTAGCGGACTAGCTGACTCCCTACACGGTTCTGTACAACCACGGACTTATAACTACTAGCAGACCACTTACGCCTTCCTTTTGGTCTCCGCCATCATTCCAGGTAGACTGTCTGTTGATATCAAGCACGTGCTGTGGTTGCTATATTAACATCGATTCCGTAAAAGCGAATATTTCGTAATTCACCTTCCCAAAAAGATTCTGTCAACTCGAGAAAGTTGATGTCACATTCTCATGATCAAGAATATGATTCACACCCTCTCAAAACCGGAAGAAGTATTCGGAAGGTTTTTAATGCATTAATAAAGTCCGATTGTAGAATGAGTGCGCATACTACTTAGGAAAGGGGTTCGACGCTTGGCAAGAGCAGGGTGTTTTTTTTTATAATATTTGTTTGTAAATATATATATTTCACTTGAATTAAGGATTCTTTTATGGATAAAAAATAATAATATAATGTGAGTGTTTTAAATAATTTTAATATCGTTAATAAGATAAAATATATTAAAAAAAAGGTGTCACACTTTTGAATAATATTTATCTGAAAACCGGTATATCCGCGCTATACACAGCTATATCTTATTGTATCCCAACACAGAAATGAAATTTTGCTGTATCGATTTAAAATAAAATATCTTTTTCATTTAAGCATTTTTTTTGCATTTATTATACTCTTACATGAGAGGGGAAATGCACGGCAAGAACCCAGTTCCGCCAATTCCTCCCTGCATTGTCTTCGCCCATGAAAGCAAACTTATCACAATCCAGATTCTGGTATCCCCTTGTCAAGTATTCACCTAGTACTTGAAACAAAGGTTGACCACAGGCACCAAATGTAATGGGAGTGGGAAAATGCACGGCCGGAACTGGTTCGAACCCGGGACCCTCCAAACTCTAGACGGACGCTCTACAAATTGAGCTACTTGGTCTCCGACACTCGACCCAGTCCAGTTCAGCTACATTCCTCCCTCCTTTAATTAAATCTTTGGTCCCTTTACCACCTTCTGTGGGTATATATATTTTTCGTTGGGCGCCAAATGTAATAGGAGAAAAATAAATGCAACGGCCAGACCGGGGTTCTAACCCGGTACCCTCCGAACTCTAAATAGTCGCACTACCAATTGAGTTATCTTGTCGCCGACGATTGACCAATAGGCCAGCCCAGTTCCGGTACAAAACAAAGGGATTACAAGCCAAAAGTTACCCAACTTTTATTTAAAGTCTTTTCCCAATAACATATAATACCAGAACAATCTGTTGCGACGATTGTGATATTTGGTATCATTTCACCTGTCTAGAAGAATGTTCAGGTAATATTGAACTTTATCAGAGGTCAAACGTATATTGGCTGTGAATGTAAAAGCGACGCTACAAATATCGACAGCTTCACTTTCTACTCCTATGAACTGTAACGAGAAAGTAACATCCTGGACATGTATCTATGTAACAAACCCAGTCTTGTGAAAAAAACTGTCAAACCAAATATATACCAGGGATACCTAACCACCATGCCGGCCATTATAGTGAAATCTGACATCAAAACACATCACAACCACACAAAGAAAATACAACTCTACAAATACAAAAGATCAGACTGGGAATACACATCAAAGGACCGACAGAATCTCGGCACATCCATCGTTGAATCCGAGACAGAACACTTCGAGGAACAATGGACCAAATTAAAAAGCTACATAACCAAGGCAATGGACACATCCATTCCACCCAAAATGTCATAAAACGAGTGAACCAACCGTGGATTCAGCACACCATCAAAAGGAAGATCAAGAAGAAATTCAGACTCTTTTGTTAGGCAAAGAAATCAGGAAATTAACGGGACTGGGTCAGACTCAAACTAAAGAAGGAAATACAAAAGACAACACGTCAAGCTCACGGCAAATACATACACTTCGTACTAGAAACATCACTCACTACATGTAACAGGAAACCTTTTTGGAAATCCATAAAGTCCAGAGCCCGCTTGTATAAAACATCTCAAAGTTAAGGAAAATCTCAAGCAATTTATTGTCTATGGGAAATCTTAGACTTGAGGAAATCTCAAGTTTTATACAAGTGGGCCCAGACACACAGACATTATTTGCCTAGAACCACTTCTGAGAGACGAAACATTACACCGCGACAGTCACACGAAGGCAACAATACTCAACACTCGGTTTCAATCTGTGTTTACCAAAGACGGCCTTAATGAGACAGTATCTGAACTACGAGGTAACAAATACCCACCCATAAAAGAACTGAACATCACCATAGAAGGGTTAGAAAAGGTATTATCTAGCCTCTAAACTAGCAAGGCAAGCGGAACAGACGGATTGCAAAACAGAATCCTCAAACAGTGCGCTGTCCAACTAGCACCAGCAATCACCCACATCTTCTGGATCAGTCTGTCTGCTGGTCACCTACCATCAGATTGGAGAAGCGCCTACATCTCTCTTACATAAATTGAAACTTACGGAACCATAGGAGATATTCATCAGTGGATAAAACCCTTCCTCACTCAACGCACTCAACAAGTCGTCGTAGAAGGTGACAATTCTTTTACAGAGAGTTGAGTGAGGAGTTCCGCAAGGGACCGTCCTCTGTCCCCTCATGTTTCTCTGGTTCATTAACGACCTGCCGGATTCTGTGCCATCCAACGTCAATCTCTTTGCAGAAGATCATGAATGTCTGTTATACAGACAGATCAGGACCTACTCAGATCAGATCGCACTCCAGCGTGATCTGCAATCTTTGGAATAATGGGCATCACAATGGGGAATGCGATTTAATGCTAAGAATTATTTTGTTATGAGAAGCAGCAGGTCAAAACAGCCTATCCAATACTTCTACAGTTTATACAGTGTAACTTTACAGCAGGAAACTATCAGCGAAGTTTTGAAACTCGACGCTCAAATGAACAAAAATACCTAAAGAGAAAATTCGTCTCTGAGATTCATTCGACGGAACCTGAAATACTGCACTGCCAATCAAAGGCGACGTTACTTTTTTACGTTATGGGCTGATAACATAAATTTTAAGCCAATGAAAATGCGTATTACAAGCAAGATTATAACTTCTGTCTATGCAGCATTAGTGCGCTCTGTACTAGAAAACAGTGACACAGTGTGGGACCCAGTTCTTCAGAAAGATATCAAAACATTTGGAGGCTGTGCAACGGCACGCTACCAGATGTATCTGTAACGATTATGGACGTAAATCTAGTGTGAAATGCCATGATGGAGAAACTCAACCTCACTCTTCTGGGAGAAAGACAAGGCGGGCATAGAATACTCATGATGTACAAAGTAGTTAATAGTTTAGTAAAATCAAAACGTCAAAATGAGATATATTCAAGAACGATTCAGCACTGGAACAGTTTATACGAATATTGTGTTTTGGCGGATGATTTAGACAATTTCAAATACAAACTACAATAATCTGACTAGTGCAGCATGCCCCCTCCATGAGTGGTATCTTCAGAATTGTAGTCAACTCAGTATCAACACAGATACAGATATATACAAGATCGCAAATGTTCACAAACGTAAAGATATTTAATGTGAGATAACGGTAGTGATCTTCTCCGCCACAGACGGCACTTCTCACATTGTCCACTATTCAATACACTCAGCTTTTCAATATCGCTGCATCGTAAGATGTTTTAGAGTTGTCAGTTACTATATATTCTAACAGAAATACAAATAACCATTGCAGGCAGTTACTAGTGGTGGAAATAAGTTTTAAAGTTCATAATCGATGGCTGGTTTAACGAAAATCGAAAATCTTTGGGGATATGTGTGATATGTTACAAAGTTCAGTTTAATAAGATTCTGACAATAATTTGTTTTACATTGGACATCTTATTACTCCCCAATCTCTACCCAGAGTTGTCGTTCCTTACACTCACTAACACTGAGTGTAAGGAACGACAACTCTGGATAGAGATAGCGTTCTCCTATAAATGACAATATATCGGGATACGTATCAAAATAATTGCTTCTGTATAGCATTATATCGTGATACACTTCAAATATATCGTGACACTCCTAATTTTTGTGTATTAGGTACATATAGGTATTACTTTGTCGGCGTCTTTGCCGTCTTTGTCGGCGGCGTCGGTTGCGTTGTCCGAAACAAGGTTTCCGTGCGATAACTTGAGTTCCCTTTGGTTGATTGAATTCAAACTTGGTACACATATTGCATACCAATATATCTTCAGAAGTTTACGTGCATTTTTGGTGGAGTTATGCCCCTTTTATTGCCAAATAAGGACAATGTGTAGTAAATGCAAGAACTTTTTTTTATTTTTTTAATCAATTCCTTTCAAAATTTGTACGGTAATGCTAGAAGCAATAATGTTAAACATATGTTGCGGGTTTTCTCGCGAGTTTCAACTTTCCGCGTTTTGGCATATCACACTTGACAAAGCATCACTGTACTTTTTTCCCGTTAACTTTTCCTCGTTTACATAAAATCTGTTTCCGTTCGATAACTTGAGTTTCTTTAGGTCGAGCGAGCAAAGACAGTGCTTTCTTAACAATAGTGCATACTTGGGATTGCTTTTATGGTCCAATTGTCAAAGGTCAAGGTCATCGTTACTATAAATAAAAAAATATGTTTCCGTGCGATAACTCGGGTTTCTTTATGTTCATCGAGCTCAGACATCATACAGTGCTTCCTTATCAATGGTGCTTGCTTGGGATTGCTTTTATGGTCCAATTGTCAAAGGTCAAGGTCATCGTTACTATAAATAAAAAATATGTTTCCGTGCGATAACTCGGGTTTCTTTATGTTCATCGAGCTCAGACGTCATACAGTGCTTCCTTATCAATAGTGCTTGCTTGGGATTGCTTTTATGGTCCAATTCTCAAAGGTCAAGGTCAGCGTTACTATAAATAGAAACTCTGTTTCTGTGCGATAACTTTATTTCCTTAGAGTTGATTGAACTCAGTCTTCATTCGGTGCTTCCTTACTAAAAGTGCTTGCTTGGTATAACTTTCTCATTAGAGTCGCCTGCGCAGGCGACACAGCCACTCCCGTGGAATTATTATACATTAAGGTTCAAACATAATGAATTTTAGACATGAAAGTTACTTGATTATAAAAAAAATCAATTTTGTCTTTAAGCTGGACTCGATGCAACTACCAAATGATTTACCTGTTTTATTTGCCCATGAATTTGACCAGATTAGCATTGCCTGTGCTTATGAATCTCGAAGGGAGATAACTATTGACGATTTTAAACAAAGAAGATACCACTGGTATTAGAGTTTA